CGTGTGATAATTCAAAGCCCTTTCATATTTTTGCACACTCAAGTTTAAGGTGAATTTTCTTGATCAAGTAAAGTGCAATAAGTAAACATTCCTTTACCTTCACTTTTCCAACAAAGAGAGGCAAGACTAAATCAAATGCCGTCACTGTGCGCCAACATCAACAAAGCAAGAGGGGGTGAAGGCGTCTTCACCTCTGTTTCACACAGGCCTAACCACATAGCTTGAACGTCCTCTGTATTACCGAGGGGGAAAATAGCTGATAAAAATGATTCACTTGGTTCCTTGGCTGTATGGCATTTTGTTTGTTTTAGAAACTGCAAGGTATGGAATGAAGATGGATTATCAGAGTCAAACTGGAGGCAAGACCACAGTTCTTTTTCCGTGGGCTTTCAGAATTCATCCAGAGCTTTGGCCCACCAATGGCCATTGAAATCATATAGCTGAAGGGAACTTTCATCATCTAACAGTAAGTCCATCATTTTACATCAAGAAGCTCAGCTTCCCGAATGCGTGACAACTTGCCCCAGTCAATAGGTAGCAAGGACAGGAGCCACAGTTGCCCCTGTTTTGAGGGTCTATAAACCCTCTGTTCCCTACAGTGGGCTGCAAGGCTCCTTCCTCAGCCCACCCTCCTCTTGAAAAGTTGGTTCTAAGCCAAAGATTCTGGAAAGTTTGCAGAACACTAAATGAATTTATTGTGACTTACTATGCTGACTCTCACTTCCTTAGCCATAAATCCTGTTTACCTTTTAAGAGTCTGTGTTCTCAAAAAATAAATTTGAGAGTACTTAGAGTGTTCTAAATAAGCCTGCCATATGACCCAGCTATCCCATTCCTAGGAATATACCCAAAGAAAATGAAAACTGCATATGAGAAAGGGATCAGTAATCCTATATTTACAGCAGAATCTACAATAGCAAAGACAATAGTAAATGGAAACAACCCAGATGCCCATCCAAAGAGGAGTGGGTAAAGAAACTGCAGTGCATCTACTCTGAGAAATACTACTAAACCATTAAACAGAATGAAATTCTACCATCTGCAACCAAATGATCTGAGATAGAGACATTAGGCTCAGTGAAATAAGTCAGTCCCAAAGGGATAAATACTGTATGTTCTCTCTGGTATGTCAACCTTCATGCAAAATAAATGATCAATATCCCTTTTAATACTGTTTTTGCTGTAACTGATGGGTTTTGATATTGTTATTATTTTCATTTCTTCGAAAGTTTCTTTTCTTTTATTTAACTCGTCACTGACTCACAGATCAAACAATAGCGTTATTTTCCCCAAGAAGCCTTTGTGGTTTTTTTCATCAACACATTAGTTATTCAATAGCATGTCACTTAACTCCATGGTGCTGCAAAATTTTTAACTTTATTTGTTGTTGATTTTGTTTCACAGCTTCTCATTTAAGGAAATATATAGTGCGGTATAATAGAGACTATCCTATCCAGATGTGAGGATACAAAGCAGTATGCATCTCTACTTCCAAATCAAAGATGGACTCCCAATGAAACTGTTGATTATATCTTGACAGTAAGATGCTAGACTGTCTGCCATTGTCTGTGCCAGCAATGTCAGGACACACTTATATAACAGAATGATGGACTGATGACTTCTTATGAAGTACTATGCTATCATAATAATATGGGGAAATTAGTTGGGGGGAGGGGTTTTGTGGATGGGGTATTGGAAACCCCAGAGCCTGTGAAATTGTATCATAAAATTAAAAATAAAAAGAAAAAAGAAGAAAAAAATTGGGGGAAACCCTGAGATAGTGTAAGGGTTATAGAGTCATAGGAAATGGCTTTCACAGATGTTGCTAACAATTTGTGTGGTTGTCAATCCAAAAATGAAACGGAAGAAGTTAGTTCTTCCACACATCTTGTCATGGACACAAATAAGTGTTTTTGGTGATAAATCGGCTCAATAAAATACCTACAAAATCATGAAGTGTTCTTCAGCCTGTATGACTTTGCCTGTCACCAAACAAGTTCATCTGGACAACAAAACAGTGCATGGCTCTCATCCCTCCACACATTCCTTCCAACAGAGGATTAGCACAGTCTCCCAGAAAGGGGTGTTCAGATTATGACAATGTTTTCAAGGCAGAGGATTGTACTGTTAACTTCTCTTTTGCACACTTCCTCCAGGCTCTGATAGAGCAGAGGAATGGAAATATGCAGTTGCAAACAAGTGTGTTTTCCTGATTTACACTTGGACTATGTCTTTCATCAAAACAACATGTGAAATGTATTCCTTTGATTCCTTGAGTTGGTGGGATACTTTGTCCAATGGCATACATGGCTGATATTAAGTTTAGCTTCATGAAAATAAAAGGAAAAGCAAACATATTTACTCACTCAGTTCACTGACACATCCCTCCCTGCCTTACCCTGTGATTTTAAGTCTAAATACTATTAAAGTGTTAATGAAGGTTCTAATTACATATACTTTAATAGATTACTTAAACAATGAAGGGTGACTTCTCCCTATAAGCACCAATTTACTATAGAAAGGCTAAATTAGAGAGCAGATAGAACTGGAACAAAGTGACTGTTTTTTTTTTTTTTTCTTTTGGGGGTGAAATGGATGTAAAGAGAAAATTGAAATATGCCCAAGCTGGTAAAAGCCAAAATAGGAAATATTCTCCTTTCATTTAGAGAGGCTTTATTTCTGAAATGTCTCCCAAAACACAGAGCATAACAAGCATTTTAATGGAAATGATTGTTTCTGAGTAATATGTTCTCTTGAGAATAGCATCTATGAATTTGCAAATGATTTCAATTTGAGAAGGAAAAAAACATCAAGCTACCTGACAATTTCACTTTGTAAAAGAACATGAATATTAGCAACATTTGAATAGCTTTTGGAAAAATACTGTCTTCTGTTTGCAAAAGCAGCATTATTACCAAGAAAACCAATTTCCCAACATCAATTCTGTGCATTGTAGGGCTCCCCCACCAAATAAAAATAATGACTTAAAAATCATCCAAAAACGCCACTTATCCTGTTGAGTTTGATCCAGCTTGAGGCCTTAGGAAGTTTAGCAATTTGATAGTATCAGTACGTAAACCAGATTCATTCTTCATGGGTGGACTCAAAAAAAAAAAAAAGGCACCAAGCTGCTAAGATTGATGTGTTTGCACATTTACGTCCGTGGCTGTGTTCACAGCAGCAGGACTGGCTCTATCTCTGTAGTTTCTATATTGACTCATATTCATAGCAATATTTACAATATCTAAAAGCATCTCAAGTACCCAACTGCAGAAGAGTAAAGAAAGAATATGTGGTATGTATGTGGTATGTATGTTCACAATGGAATATTCTTCAGCTTTAAGAAAGAGATTCTGACATATGCTAGAGCATGGATGAACCTTGAAGACACTTTGCTGGGTAAAACAAACCAGTCACAAAGTCTAAAGAGTAGAAGTTTTCACTTAATGTAAAGTACCTAGAGTGGTCAACTTCCTAGAAAGACAAAGCAGAATGGGGATTACCAGGGGCTGGGAGAAGGTAGGGGAGAATCAATACTTAAGAGTATAGAGTTTCAATTTTACACCATGGAAAGGATTCTGTCTGGACAGTAGTGGTTGTTGCACAGAATTTGTCAATATGGCTAGTGTCATTGAACTGCACACCATTTAAAAAATTATTTTATTGGAAAGGCAGATATACAGAGAGGAGGCACAGAAAAGAAGCTCTTCCATCAGATAATTCACTCCCCAAATGGCCACAATGAGTGGAGCCAAGCCAATCCAAAGCCAGAAGCCCAGAGCTTGTTCCAGGTCTCCCACATGGATGCAGAGTCCCAAGGCTTTGGGCCGTCCTTGACTGCTTTCCCATGCAACAAGCAGGGATCTGGACGGGAAGGAGGGCTGCCAGAATTAGAACTGACACCCATATGGGATCCTGGCATGTTCAAGGCGAGGACTTAGCCACTGGGCTATTGTACCAGGCCCGAAATACAATGTAGATAAGAACTTTTTTGTTGGGTATTGGCTAACCACAATTCAAATATTTTGAAGTCCTGTTTAAATTTATTTAGAATTCTCACAGGGATTAGCATATTTCTAGTTTTCAGTCCTACCCTCATTCTACAACAGAACAATGCTGAGCTGTAAACGCATTGCCACTTTGAGGGCAGACTTCACACAGCAGGGTGGGTGAGCTGGATTTTGGGACACTTGCCCAACACAGATCAATCTCATTTGGCAGAGGAGACAAAACACTTGGATCCTACCTAACTGCTTGCATTCATTTACCAAAGGACATGATGCCAGGAGGTTCTTTCCAGGTGGATATGCCAAAGCCTAATTTCTTTCTAGGACATATCAACTCTTTTCTGATTCTGATGACCTTAAACTTGGTTTTTAGCTTTGCAAATATACTCAATCTTATCATACTCAAAGCCTTCAGTTCCAGAGGAATTATGCATAAAGTGACCTTACAGATGAGAACAAAGTTTATTTCGTTTCAATGAGTCTCCCATTTCCTTTATTTGTGATGTGTTGGCGGATATGTGCTGTGGGGTCCAGGTGTTAATATTTATACATCTAACCTACACATGGCAGATAGAGTATCTGCTTCAAATCAATATGTTCATATCACATTCACCACTAAGCACCCACAATTCTTAGCTATTTTGGATCTAATCCAACTGGAAAATTGTATATTTTCTTACCCACTTTCTTTCCCTTAATATCTAGGAGGGGTTCAAGGAAAAAAAAATAAGAATGGGCAGAATGAAAATCTGTTGGAACGGTTGCCTTTCTCTTTCTAATCAGGAGCCAAAAGCTTCACCTTGACAGAAACTGGAAACTATCAACAATGCTTTCATAAATGTCTCTTCAGTTACCTCCACTGTATTAATTTATATGAGGAGGAATTATTAATGCATCAGCTTCAATCCAACCCATCCAGATTTTGTAAGGAATCTAAATAAGGGCTTTCCTCCTCCCCAAGAAGTAACACAAGTAATCCCAGTGAGACAAGGAAACTGCAGCAAAATTTATTGGAAATGACCTAGACTTGACATCCTGATGAAGATGTAACAACACATGAAGTACAACTGATACAACGTCTACAAAATCACCAAGGAAAAAGAAAATGTGTTTTTAAAAGAAATATCGTATCCATGTTACCTTAATCTTTGAACAATGTAACCAATAATTTTGACTCTAAACATCCAGAATAAAGATCACTTAGAACTAAACAAGAGAAAGAAGTTTCTTCCCACAACTGGACAACTCCTTGACTGTTATCTGTGTATAACTCCCATCAGGCAGTTTTCATCACCTGTCATTAAGAAGATATTCATATTCCTCCCAGGAAAAAACTCTTCCAAGCAACAAATCAGTTGATGGCCCCCAACTGATTGGGGTGCCTAGAATCAGCATTTCCTAGAAATTAACAATATTAACTCTACTGATAAGACCTCACTATCCTGTAAGACACTGCTTGGATGCAAGAGCATGCTGCTCTGTGGTGAGAGCCCTTTGCATTCCAGCTGGGTCAGTGCAGACAGAGCATGTCACCTGCTCATTAGGATTCTCTGACTCCTCGGCAGCTTTATTCTTCTACTTCTTCATACAATTCAGCTTCTACAGAATGAACTGCCTTTGAAAAAAAATTATCCCAAGTCATCCCTTTGCGAAAAAGTAAGTAATGTGAAAAGCACAGAGAATAGAAACTGCTTGGGAAAGCAAAACTGACACACTAACTTTCAGAGGCACTATCACAGAGTCGCCTCTGAGATGGAAAGCTGTATGCTACATGTGTGCTTTGAAAATCAGGTGGATTCCAAACATTCACCTCGGATGAATGGCCTCTAAAAAGCCATTGGAGGGTTGAAGACCCTGGGAATCCCAACGCGGGATTGTAGCATTTGTTGGACTGGTACCATAAGCCTTTCTCCTTCCCACCAATTTCAACAGCTTGTTCCTAAACGAGCACATATCAACTTTGGAAGAGCAACTGTGACTGCTTTTCTTCTAAATTTAAGGTAGAGAAAATGAAAGTAAAAGCACTCACAATTTAATGGGGAATGACAAATCCCTGTCACCGTGTGACTGTGGAACTGATGGAAGTCAGTGCGTGACTACAGGAGTCATTTTAGATAAAATATAGACAGCTAATGCTGACAAGGTAAGCACTCACTTCTATTTTTGAGGCCTGATACTTCTAGTTTGAGTTACTAATGCTAGACTGATTTTCCAGAAAGTTAACAACAATCTCCTTTTTTTTTGTCCTGGGTAGGCTCAGGTACAATGTTCTACCTTCTTACAAAGCTCAAAAGTAAGGTCTAACAGGACTCCCACTGCTTGTAGAAGTGACATGCTAGTTGGCACAAAGCAGGTGGGGCAGAAAGATCGCCCACCCTCCCCTAAAATCCACCGGAGCCTGATTAGCAATCAGTCATTCTCCTCCAATAGACAATGTCAGCCAATTTTAAGACAGATGCACAGAAAGTCACATAAATGTTTCTACCTTTCCATCATTGAGGGAAACATGCTTTTCTTTGGAGGCAAAAAAATACATTCATTTTTTCAAGTATATTTCAATATACAAAGATAATCAAGCTTTGTTTCATTACAAAGACAAAAAGAGTGCACATAGGTCCAAGAGAGATTTCACACTTCAACTTCCTTTGGTGTGGATTTCATGAGGTTCTGACACAAAAACTATACTAGATACACATTACTCATTTGACCTGAAAGCATGAACTCTTTTTTTCCATTTTACATATATGTGCGTGTGTATGTGTGTGTACAGTCATCAACAAGAGAAAACCCCAGTTTACAAATCTATGATGGCTTAGGGGTGGCAAGCTCCAAGGAGAGCAAGATGCACCTGCTGACTTAGGACCAGCAGGAGGTGGGTCCCTCAATGTGGGCTGGCATCACACAGGCTCTTCCTCTCCGTAGCAAGCTAAGGAGCACTTGCTGCTGGGTATCTGCAGTTATGGCTTGTTTCCTGACTTGGCTTTGCTGTTGGGGCTGCAGTTGAGGTCTCTAAGCAGTGCTTCGCAGTTAGCTAGAGCATCTGCTGGCACAAGTTTTCGGATATGCTCCACTGTCTTTTGATAAGCCATCTTCTCCTGCTCCAGAGTCCGGATTAATGTCTTCATTTTGGTCTCTCGGTTCAAAAGATTTTCCAGGTTGGATTCCAAGGCCTGGATTTTCGCATGAGCCACCTGTTTGAATAAAAGAAATCTTGTTTTAATTTTCCAAAATAAAAATGTGAAGTTGGCTTTGTATAGCAATATAGCAGCTCCTGATTGCATATATCAATTATATCAAATGTATTAATAAAATATGATGTGACACAAATACTTTGAAAACCTCCAAGAAAAAATGGGGGGTATTTTAGGTTTCTAAAAAAAATGCAACTGTGGTACTAACATGACTCATCTCTTCTCACTGCAAACACCAATAGGACAACACTGCATCGCCTCCCCGCAATGGTGGGGCTCCTCACTTCATCACCTACTTTGCCTTCCAGAAGACAGAGGAGCTTTTGCCCTCTTACTGGAAATTCAGATTTCTTTAAACATGTACTTGGTATCCTATCAGTTTGTTTCAATGTCAGGGATGCCCAAATTACTGGATGATGACTGTATTAAATCATGAGGGAATGCATGTGTAACAATTAAGAAAAATCAGTATAATATAAAAAAGAGGTGCAAATCCACCATACTCAATGAGGAAATGTTTAATTAATCCTCACCGAAATAACCAAGTAGCACCGGTTACTTAAATACACTTAAAAACACTGGTTAACCAAATACACCGACTATGGTGGCTCTTCTTTGAGTAGAAAAAGGGACAGAATTTTCTATGAGCCAAAACTAATTAAGATAAAGGACTGGAAGTCAGTTAGCTGTCCCCTAAGCAGGAGAAGCATCCACTTTAGAGACTCCTCACTTCTAATCCATTTCTCTCCCACCTTGATTGGAAAGGGCCTCATCACACAGAAGCAGAGTTTCCATGCTTGCTACTTCGGAAGCAGACACAATGTTGGCAGAAATGAGGCAGGAGGCAGGCTAAGCAGAAATCAAAGACCCAAAACACTTAAGCACTACCTCAGAATTCATCTCCCACTGTAAGGCTGCTGCTATGGTTTGGATATGGTCCAACTGTGTTCCATAAGGAAGTTATATCTGTAGTATGGCTATGTGACGGACAATGGGCTAAGACATGGGATCAAGTAGGAGGCTCTTATTTCACTGGGGTCATTGTCCTCAGATGGGATTGAGGTAGTTCTCATGGGAACCTGGTTTATTATTGCAAGAGAATTATTATGAAAGCCAAGAACTGCCCATTCAGTCTTCCTGGCCTCCTGTTGTCACCATGTGATCTCTCTCTCTCTGGCACATGCTCCTAAACATGGCACCACCTGCCCTATGATGCAACCAAGGAAGATGTCACACAAGCTGTCACCACACTGTTTACACCTTCAGCCTCCAAAACTGTAAGCCAATTCAACCTCTTTTACTTACGTTTACCTAGCTTCAGATGCTTCATTATAGTAACAGAAAAGAGCCACTGGCTTACCTCCTTTGTCCTGACCACTTTTAAGCCTTACCCATCAAGACATGAAGATAAAGTACACATCACTCAAGCTGGAGATGCAGCATAGCACTTTTTAACACATTCTGTATTGCATTTGTCAGTTTGTGTTTATAAATAAGCATACAGTAGTTTAGATTGCAAGTAATTTATAAATTCCTTCATGGAAGAGCAGGAACCATTCATTTATACTTTGATTCAATTCTCAAAAAATGTGTGTTTATCTTTCCATTTTTGTTTTATACTACACAGCTCCTATCTCCAGCTGGATTACTGCAAATGTTTTCTAGCTGGCCTCACTACCTTCTGTCCTCATCCTTATCTGTCTTTGTCAAAGTTCCAGTCAGATGATTCTAAATCATGGCTCAGAAACACTGGCAGATTTCACTGCCTACAGAATTTAAAGACATGCTCTTATGACTGACACCAATGTCACTTCTCATTAACTTCTGCCTTTATCACATCTATCCCACTTTATCCCAACAGAAATCTTGAATTAAAGCAAAGCTAACTGTGATTCTCTGTACATCTTCCTTGCTTATGCTACATTGTGCCCAGTTCAGACTAAAGACATTCTTCACTGTTCGCTGTTGCCCACACTTTAGCTCTAACTCACACTTTGGTCACCCACTCCAATTTCCCATAGTCAATTGTTCTGCCTCTGAAGTAACCAGATATGCACAACACCCAATGGATTTTGCTCTTAACTCCCAGTTTTTTCTGAGTGTTCATTTTCTCTCCCAAGTGACATTTGCATTTGAAAGTTCATCTTCAGCCCCTGGAGCACCTGAGCAGTCTGACACTGCAGGCTTTTGCCAGCAGTGGAGACACACACACACACACACACTCCCCACCATTACTCCCCTTCTGGCTCTGTGCAGGCAGGAGGCAGCTCTGCCTTTTCTTACCTGTAGTTTCTCTAGGAGGTCCATGTTTTGTCTTTTCAGTTGGCTATTGGCCTTCTCTAGCTTCTCCAGAGGTTCGCTGTCCTCGCAGGCATAGGAAGACTCTTGCAGTTCATCCTGTAGCACGTGATATTCCACCTCATAGGCATGTAACTGTTTAGAAATATCCATCTCAAACACCTGCCATGAAAATAGTCCAGCTTAGTCTGGCCTTCAGTACCTCAGTGTGTTGATATACTTCATATTTATTTCCAAGTACTGATGAATGAGGAACTTCATTAAAGCATATAAAATGGAAAAGTCAATAGAAGAATAAATTACATAAGGATTGGAACAGATTGTTTCTTCACGATGGAAACATTTTCATAATGAGATCAAATCATAAGAAAAAATTGATGTCAATGGTGTGTTGCTCTACAATGTCATACTCTACTTCCTGTCTCCCGAAATGCAATGTGGAGCTTTTGTCACCTGTGATGGAGATCACCATTACTGATTAGGAAGCAAGATTGTGTGAGGTTGTTCCCGAAAAGAGAGAACAGAAAACTGCCCAATTTATTTGTCAATAGCACAGATTTTAATGAACATTTTTATCCACTTGTTATTCCAATTCCATGTGGGTCTCTTAGGAGTCACTTCCATGTTGTGCCACACTGACAACCCTCAAAATTGCATATCCCAAGTCCCGGGTAGAACTGGTAGGTTTAAGTAGGGCTGTCTCCCCTCTCCCCTGTCACCAGCAAATGAAGACAGCTTGCTTAGAAACTGGAGGACAGGCTCTCCTCTTGGCAAAACCCCATTAAGAGGAAAATGAGGCAGCAGCTTCTGTGTGAGCAATGACACCAATGCTAACAGTGTTGAAAAAAAATTACAAAAAATACATAACTTATTCTACTGCTTGAGTGACATTAGTTAGTTGTAGAAATACTGCTTGAGTTGCCCTGGTTTCACTTTGAAGTGCCTGACTTTAAGTCCTGGTTGTAACTCCAACTTCCTATTAATACACACAATAGGGTGTGGCAGGTGAAGTCTCCAGTAGGAAACCCCATTACCACATGGTAGACCTGCTTTGAATTTTGGGTTCCTGGCTTCAGCCCAACTTGCCCAGCCCAGCCTTGACTGTTGTGGGCATTTGGTGGAATGAACCAGAAGAAAAGACCTCCTCACCTCTCTCTCTCTTTCAGCCTTTCAAATTAATTAAATAAGTAATTTTAAAGAAATTAGAGTATGGGAACTTCTAGACTAATTTGGTTATCATTTTTCAAAGCAGGTAATCCTCATGAATTCCAGAAGAGAGATGATACCTGGTTTCAATTTTGCAAAAGCACAATCTCTGAATGCATGTTAGTTAGATAAGTAAATGTTTAAGTAAAAGCAGTGCTTTTCAGCTTATGGAACATTTGCACAAATAAAAACAATTTATAGATAACTATATAACAATCTATTTGTAATTAAATTCCATATCATAGAAAGAAAACTTGATTTAATTATAAAATTCCCCATGATACTACGAATTAGAACATGCAGGCACTTTAGTTTATAAATTATATTTACTCATAAAATAATATGAAAATGTAACAGGATCAATTACTGCTATTTTCATTTTGTAGGAGAGGAAGCAGAGAATCAGAGAGGTTGTGACCTTCCCATAGTCTCACAGCATGTAGGTGGCAGGCACTGGAACAAGACTTCCAACTCCTCTTTTCTTCTCTAAGCTCTAAGCTCAGTACTCACAAGGCATGATCACTGTACCTGCAAATTTGGTCTTAAGTGTGCTCATTGCTCTGCAACAACATCAACATGTAATACTATTCCTCTACTCACTGGGAAGGGCCAGGGCCAAGTGAGTTGGTGTCTGTATTACTTTCTATTGCGAGCCACACTCAGTTCACTGCCCTCATCTACCCTTTCACACCCTGGAAGGCAGACTTTTTCTGAACTGCATACTCCTGCACTCGTTTCTGGCTGGCTCTGTCACTCTTGGCCAACAGGAGGTGCTAGCAGGAGGTGCCTTCCCTGCTTAGTTCTGCAAGAACACATCCACCAGAGATACAGGTCCTCTACAGTTCTAATTGTCCTCGGGCCCAGTAACCCTATGATATTCCTCACGGCCCCCTCAGCACTAACTCCAGGGCATGTGGACAGCCACACTGGGTGCCTATCTCTCTCTAAATGGCTCATCATTAGACATGTTAGAAGGAGCTGTTTCCTACAGAGACTCCCACTGACCACTATCTTCTCGCTTGGGAGTTGAGAAAACAAGGATGATATGTACAAGTCCAACTTCATGCTTTCTCATTCCAAAGTCTGCACTCTTGCCACACGACTTCCGTGTGCATTTTACAACAGGACTAACATTCTCACAAAGGCAAGTGGACCTCCTACCAGCCTCAGGTCTTCCAGGCTTTGACAGGAGGTCCGAGATACTCATTAAGTAGCACTCAACCATGCCTCCTGTGCATAGCCGAGAAAGACAACATCAGACAGCGAGTAGTTCACAAGTCCCATTTCTACCTAAAATGCACCTGATCAAAGTAAAAATGAGTTACAACTGCCAAGCAAAACTGCATTTTGTGCTAAAACACTTCATCTATGACCCAGTATAGTCATTACTAGTGTTTTCACTTAAATCATACCTGGGTAATGATCTTTTCCATTTCAGAGGTATTCATATCTGGAAGTGTGGTTTTAAGGAATTCCACAATATTCTCAAAGCTTTCACATTCCATTATAAGTGCTTCCTGGCTACTCAGCAGGCTGAGCGCCACTTTAAATATAACTTCAGTTCCCTGAAGAAAAATTATATCTAAAAGAAAAGGTACAAGTGTCATGATCAAATGTAAACATGCTCTGTGTAAAAAGTACATTCTTTGTGTTAGAACCTTTTGTTTTTTATTATTGCACCAGGCCCAGAGAACATTTGGCAATCAAAATTGATCAAAACCACTAGCTTTATTACAGAAAAAACTTTAATATGATTGAAACAAATAGGTGTTTAAATATTCCCCATACCTAGTAAGAATCTCAATAAGACTTGGATAGCAAAGGAAAAAAATGTTATATTCTTATCTATGTGTTACTTATAATCTCTCACAATGATTTTAATGGAGAATGGATAAACATCAATGGTACTTATTTACTGATACTTAGATTTTTCTTCCCAACAGGAACATAAAAACAAATCAGTATAACCAAATAGGACTATGTGAACTTGCATTACCAAAATAAAAGTTACCAAACCAGTTAACACGCAATCAAATCTATGTCATAGCAGATATATTTAGAAAGGATTTAAAGATAATTGATAGGGCCTGATGTAGTGGCTCAGTGGCTAAATCTTTGTCCTCTATACACCAGGATCCCATATGGGCGCTGGTTTGTGTCCTAGTTGATCCACTTCCCATCCAGCTCCCTGCTTGAGACGTAGAAAAGCAGTAGAGGGTGGTCCAAAGCCTTGGGACCCTGCACCCAAGTGAGAGACTCAGATGAAGCTCCTGATTCCTGGCTTCAGATCAGCTCAGTTCCTGCCATTGAAGCCATTTGGGGAATAGACCAGTGAACAGAAGATCTTTCTCTTTTTCTTTGTAATTCTGTCTTTCCAATAAAAATAAACTAAAAAAAAAAAAAAAGACAGTTGATAACAAATGTGAACCCAAAATCTAAATTCTTCTTTCTTAGAAATGAAAGATTGCAATAGTTTTGAAAAGAATCAAATACTTTTGATTAAAATTTCTCTTAGTTGATGTCATTCTTTTCTCAATAATACAGAGCAGGATTGTCTTGAAAAACAGTAAAGTATAAAAGAATTATGGTGAACACAGCAATTCTTAATTAGGTATGTTCCATCTTGCTAATAGAGAGGAAAGGAGGAAAAGAGGGAGAGGGAGGGAAGAAGAGAAATAGAGTGGCACAGATGGGGAGGGGAGAAGGGAGAGGTTTCTTCTATATGCTGGGTCAACTCCCCAAATGGTCACAATGGCCAGTTCTGCATCAGGTCCAAGCCTGGAGCCTACAACTTCATCCAAGTCTCCGAAGCAGATGGCAGGAGCTCAAGCATTGGCACCATTTGCTGCTGCTTTTTCAAGCCCATTAGCAAGGAGCTGGATAGGAAGTGACGCAACTGGGACTCATGGGACGCTAGTGACACAGGAGGCAGCTTAATTTGTTGCACCAGCACGTTAGTCTCACAGTCTCTATTATTTATTATTTTCAGAGAAATGCAGTGATGGCACGATGGATAGCACCATGAATATTTTCATAGCAAAACATGCTACTGGCAACATTCATTTCATAAAACTTGACATCAGCTTTCCAAGAGTAAACTAAAGAGTTGTGCTCTGAAATACCCTTGTGATTTGACATATCATTCTCTGAGAAGAAATATCGAAATCTACTTATAATGAGGAGTAACAGAAGGGCCATTATCAGGAACCCTAGTTGCAAGCAGAGTTTCACTGGTGAAAAGCAATGGGTGTACCGAATAAACAAGGGAGGCCCGGTGAATACGTGATTCATCTGACTTTGATCTTACTCTTCTGCTGCACTTTTGTCTACAGACTATATTCCTGCTAATGCAGTGTTTTGGCAGATAAAATGTACTCTTCAGCACATGGAATCTATATCACAAGCAGATTATCTTGTAAACATTCTCCATTTGTTAAAATGTTCTGCAAGATGAATAGTGAGCTCTCATTTGCATATCTGCTTATTTAGAAATTCTTCAGCAACACTTTTTAAATTGCTAAGCATTAAGAAATTGTGCTTCTAGAATTTTTAAACCAAATATCACTTCTCTAAAACTAATGAGGAAGTTCGTTGACTTTCTAAATTGCTACTAGAATCAGTTGGTAGAATTTTGCTCCCAGTAGAAAGGAGCCCCTTCATAGTAAGTTGGAATGCTACACACATCTTCAGAAGTGGTCTCTTTAAATCGTGTATTTCATAACACTATTTGTAATACTCCTATATTGTAACACTTCTATATTGAATATACTGAATATAGGATATAGTAAATATATTCTATTCAAATCTATTCCAATGTTTTAAACAGTAGAAAAGACCTGTAACTATTTAGACTCACAATTGTATAGAAAATGCCAAATTTGATGAAAGTACAGCTGTGAATGAATACTGACTACACTGACCATGGCTTCCAGAGAGATGCACAGAACAGAAAAATTGTGGCAGCCCCTTCCTGAGGTTATGAGGGCACGTAAGGCAAGACATTATTAGAATAAATTACTCCTTATTTTCTTTTTGAATAAAAGAGAAACTCAACCAAGAACTTATACAAACTTATACAGACAGTCCCCAAACTGCAGCAATACTACTACTACTATGACTAATACTTCTAATAGCAATAATAACAAAAACTATTGCCCTTCTTGTTCCCAGTGTCTAATACTGGGACTGGAACAAAACATGGGCTCACAAGACCAGCTCTGGGTTCTTCTACAGCCTGTGATTAGAGATCTTCCCTAATTCATTCAGCCTTACAGATTGGCTACACTCCAATATTGGAATGAGAGAAAAGCCACTTACACAATGCAGCAGTAATTACAACTACCCTGAGGAGAACAAAAACTCGGGTTAAGAAATGCCATTAGAAAGAGCACCAACACCAATACTTTCGTTGTCCCACTCAGATAACATGTGTGTCTGTGTTTTGAACCAGATTAAAGAAGAAAATGGTTTTGGAAGAAACAACCGAACAAAACTCAGAGGTCGGAAGGATGTATGCATAAATCTAGAAAGTTGTACAGATGACACAGATTATGCTCTCAGTCCAAATTCTTTTTAAAAAGTACACTGCGATTTTTTAGGCATCAACAAAAATCAGTGTTTCATGATCGCTTATTCAGCTACAGCAGAGCAACTTTTCCACTGCATTTTGATTTCACTTAAGACCAACAGCATTTCAAATGACTACTGAACATCACCATGGACATTTATTAAATTCCAGTAGCAATTTGCCATTCTGTCCAATGTGTGATAAAGCAACTGGATACCACACGGCCAGATGTATGTTCCCTTAGAATAAACACCCCAGTTCCGTTGGATCAAAGTCAGCTCTTACCGAAAACTCTGGCTACAAATCCTAGAGGAAACTGAGAGGCGAACAGTGTGAGGAACCAGGGGGCAGCATAAAGGCTGGGGCTGATCTCATTCTCCTCCAAATGATTGTAGAGATCTCTGTGATAGTCATGAAGGAGCCTGGAGAGCTGGTACATTTCAATCTGGAGTTGATTTGGAGGGGAAAAAAAAAGATATTATGCATTTATCTGAGTGAGCCTAAAATACATTAACTTGAATTGTTTTACTCTAATATTTACTAACATTTCACAATATTCAATTATTAATAAAAGCAGCAGTAATTGTTTATCACAGACATGGTATTTTTCCTCTTATACAGAAATATTGCTTTTGAAATCTAAACAGAATTCTCCTGGCTTACAACTTGTAGACAATGTGTTGTCCAAGGCCAGACGATATCTTTATTCCAAAGAATCTACTGTGTCTAGTACAGAAGTGAAGTTCGTCTATCTGTTGGATCCAATGCTGGTTCATGACAGAGCTTGTTTTTGACCCATAGAAAATGTCTATTGCTATAATGAATAGAGACTGAGAACCTTATGGGGCCAGAACCCAGAGATGTTACATCTAGAATCCAAGTATTCTAGCCATCCTATTTTTTTTTAATGACAAAAAGGTCAATTAGGTAATGAACTATAAATGTTACATGAACTAAAAGAAATCACTTCATTTAGCTACTGAGTTTATGTTTGGCAGTACTTTACATTATAAAGACCCCACAGAAAAATTTTAAGCTCCTCTGTCTGATAAAGAATTAAAAAAAGAAGTAATATATAATAAAGTGATTGTGAACTGTGCTTTAACTGAAATGTATACCCATAATAGCTGAGTGCTGGTGATCTGATTGGTTATTTCAGCCTTGTGTTGTGCTAGCAAATGAACAGCATATTCTTTACAAACGTCCAAGACTTTTTTCACAAGAAAAAATCCAGGTAAAACACCATTCTTAAGCAGTTAGTGCTACGAAATCACATAAAGGAAATCCATTATAATGTAAGGTCGACAATTGCTTCTGGAGTCCAAAATTAAGAGCAAGCAAACTTTTTTGCGGGGGAGGGGATACCCTAAGTACATAAAATACAGCCAATTATTTGTTTGATTCTTATCTCCAATCTCTACCTTTGGAATCAAAATTTCCATAAAAACTGTAAAAGAAAAGAATGAAAAGTCCCAGGAAGTCATTGCTAAAAATAAGAAGTTTGATTAGAGTAATACATAGAGGGTTTTTTTTAATGGATTAGCCCAATAAGTCATGTAAAAGATAATTCATTTCCTTTATGTCTTACTTCAAAATGGCATACTAATAAGCATAAATATTAAGTCAAATTAGCAGAATAAAAAGCAAATATCCCACATAAAGCATTCTGCTCTTGGTACGGTAACAGTGTAATGGGGAGAGAGAATAATTCAGCCTTTAAGATTTTGAAAAGATCTCTGCATTTTTCCCTATGCACCTGCACATGTGTGCGCACAGACCACACACACACACACACACACGCACACACACACACACACCAAGCAAGATATACTTGGGCAAATAAAAATCCAATTTGTGGCTCCTTCAAAGGAAGCTGTAATAATAAAACCTAATTTTTGTAATGAACAAACAATTCTTCATATAGAAGAGGTAGAACTAGAGGGGAAAAAATACACAAAGAGAAAGGTAGGAGGGAGAAGACATAAAAAGTGGAGACCAATGACTGCAGAGAAAGAATGCTTTCACAACACGGGAGATGGTGGACACAAACCACAGTGAGATACATACGTTAAGACATGAGAAACTTCAACTCCTTCATTTCACAGTTAAGGTAACTGAAACCAAGGGCCCAACGTGGCCACCCTCACCAACAAGGAAACAAGAAATCAGAAATTCCCCCAGCTCTAGGCAACTGCTTAGGTTGCCTTGAATCTACGTAAGTGCTACATGGCCAGAGAAAAAAAGCAGCCAATAATCGGTGAGCATTCTAGGCCTGGTTAATGCTAATTTTCTGTTAACTATACAAGTATGACAGCATAGTTGCCTATATATATATTTTGAGATATGTGGGGAAGGTGGGGAACACCAGGCCAGGACACACTACCCTGCACCCCAGGTTTGGGGGGTGAACTGTAAATTGCCTCGGGAAAGGGGATCTGGGGACAGAGTAGGAGCAGCTGAGGGCATGTTTGACAGGGGAGTAATGACTTCTGCGGTATTCCACGGACTGGGCCACTTCACTCACAGGCAAAGGAGCCGAGATAGGGTGGTTTAGATGTGGGAAACCAGAGGGCATGTCTGGGTCAGACCAAGGTACCTGCCCATGTGGAGACCTGGGCTGGGCTAACTGAAACTGCCCACCACCCGCAGGCGCATACAAAAGCTGGGACTGGGAATGTCTGACTGAGCTAGGCCACAGTTCATGCCCATGTCAGAGCAGGGATGGGCCATGTTAGGCTATTCAACAGCACCCAGAGCTTGAGAGAACTGGATCGAGGGGCATATTCTGCAGGGAACTCTAGGCTCGCCTCTATGGAACTGCAGTAACTGCCAGTTTGCGTAGAGAGCTGTAGTGGTGATGGGTTGGATCAGGCTAGACTGATCAGCTTATCTGACACTCACAGAAGCTGTGGCTGGGAGAAGGCCGGATTGGGCCAGGCTGGAGCACCCACCAGCACATGCAAAGGCTGGGATGGGGTAGAAGATGCCAAGCAGGGCCACAGCGCCCACTGGAATGCATGAGATCTGGGGCTGAGAGCAGGTCTCACAGGGAAACTTGGGGAACTCCCCTTATAGGCCTTAGCTTCCGCTGGAGAGCACAGTAGCTGAAATGAGGGTGGGGGCGGGGAAACCAGGCCAGGTGGGGCTACAACACTCAGCCTCTGTGTAAACCAGGTTTGGGAACAGGCCAGGATGGACCAGGTCTCAGCATCTGTTGGCACACATGACAGCCAAGATAGTGTGGGTTGCACTGAGCTGGGTAAGCTGCAATACCCAGTAGCAAGAGCTAAGACTGAGGGTGGACCAGGCCAGGCTAGATTTAGGCACCTGCTCACACATATCAGATCTGAGCTCAGGAGAGGAGCTCTCTCTGGTCTTTACCTAGTTCCAACTTTGGCCACTCATCCTCTCTTGCACTGACCATCAGAGTCTCTTTGGAGCACCAAAATTAGCTCAGATAGACAGAAAGAGACTAATATAGAAAGCTTAGAACAATTAGGAAAAATCAGCTTGGCTTTTCCTAGACCTCACTAGGTAGGATGCAAGGTTCAGTTATTCCTCACTGGAGATTTCTCTGCACACCCCTCCTAAGACTATTCTATTCTTCAATTGTTAATATATGGCTTGTTAGAGTTATAAGTCTGTTTTGATTATCCTAAAATGCATGAAGGTCTGTAAAATCTTGCTTCAAACTGCTAAACATAAATATATTTAAAAAAAAAAAAAGATCTGGGTCTGGTAATGACGTTGGTAGGTTTCTGGAGACTACTCTGCTAGGCTGCAGTTCCTACTGGTGAGTACAAGAGTCAGAGCTGTGGACAGACCAGGCTGGGCAAGGGTGCAGCACTCGTCAGCATGCATGTGGGCTGGGTTTGGAAGTCGGTAAGACTGGGTGAGACTCCTACACCCACTGGTGTATGCAGGAGCCATAATGGGTACAGGGCAGGTAGTACAGCACCCAGCAGTACACATGAGAGCCAGGTCTGGGGGTGGGAAAAACTGAGTTAGGCTATATAGCACCCACTAGCAAGAGTTGGAATAGGTGCAGGCCAGGCAGGCTAGGCTGCAGTACCTGCTGGTGAATGCCAGGACTGTGGCCAGCCATATCAGGTTAAGCCACAGCACCTGCCAACACACACGAGATCCAGGGCTGATAGCAGGCCTGGTAGGAGAACACGGGAAGCCTCCTGCTAAGCTGCAACTCCTGCTGGTGAGTGTGAGAGTTGGGGTTGCGGGCAGGCCAGGCAAGACTGCAGCAACTCTTGGTATATGCATGAACTAGGTCTGAGGGCAGGCCAGACCAAACTGGACCACAATATCTGTCAGTTCACAGGAGGGCTAGGGATGGGCCAGTCTTAGCTAGTGAAAGCTGTGACTGGGGGTGGCCTAGGTTGAGCCAGGCTATATAGCACCTATTGGCAAGTCTGGGCCATAGCACTCACTGACATGAGCAGGACCCACAAGGGGTTGGGCCTGGTGGAGGAACTAAAGGTTCTTCATTGCTGGGCCACTGCTTTCATTGGTGAGCATGAGAGCTGGGACTGGGGGCAGGCCAGTCTGAGGGCAGGTCAGGTTGGGTGTGGGGCAGCCAGGTCAGCCACAGCACCCACCGGCAAGTGCTGGGACTGAGTGCAAGTCATGTCATGCTGGACCACGGTCCCCCAAGCAAGGCTGGAAGCAGGCATGCTAGAGGAACTATGGGCTCTCCCCTGCTGTGCTACAGCTCCCACTGCTAAGCATAAGAACCATGGCTACAGGCAGGCCAAGCTGGCAAGGTAGCAAGTCTTGTTGGCATACATGTGGGCTGGGTCTGGGGGCAGGTCTGGCTGACCTAAGCTGCAGCACTCATAGATGTATATGGGAGCAAGATGGGATATAGGACAGATCAGGCTAGATTGCAACATGTGCCGGCACACACAAAAGACACGGTTGGAGGCAGGCCTGGTGGAGGTTACTGAGGGTAACCCTGACTAGCCTGTGGCATCTGCTGGTGTATGTGAAGACAGGGCCTGTGGTGGGTTGGGCTGGGCTAGGCTGCAGCACCCATCAGGTCGTGAGAGAGATGGGGCTGGGGTGAGAGTGACAGTATGTGCATTGGTTGGTGCAGGGGATAGACCAAACCCGACCCTCTACTGGCTGGCACACACAAGAGTCAAGTCTAAGGCCACCTCAGGTGAGGATTTTGCGGGGATTCCTAACTAGACCACTCTACTCAAACTCCAGCCACAGGGAAAATCAAAATAGATGTAGTCCAGGACTAGGCCTCTTCGGCTGCAGATGCCTATGCAGTGGACAGCACGCACAGATGCACACAACGATCGTGACAGTCAGCTCATCTAGGCAGTAGAGGATGACAAATGTCTTGTCAGAGGATGGAAAACAGAAGAGGTTTGGTGATTCTTCTGGCCGAACTTTGCAACATGTTCCTAGGCCTGTGAATGCAGTAAGGTGGACTTGGTATGCTAGTCTGAAGATGATACACAAGACATCTACTCATTCTATTCCCAACAATGATGGGTTAATTCTTTTGAAGGGTAAATATTAGATAGCCAGGTAGACATTCGCCTATTTGTATAAAAGGGGATCAAGAAAATCAGACTTCGTTTTTTTTTTTATAAAAACGGAAATTTTCCTGTGGTTGAATGAAAAAAAAATGCAGAAGCCAGCCTGGGGAGTAGAACAACATTTTCACATCTTAGGTCTTGTCCATATTTGGTAACTGTGTTAGGTGGGTCAGTCCTCTCCCTGGGGCAGCGTAATGGAATCCGCTCTGTTCTGGGGGACAATTAAGACCAGTAGACCGTGATGAAGACTTCCGGAAGGAAGTTCAGGAGCTTCACATGCAGGAATCCCTCAATCTAGCACTATTCCAGAACGGGAAAGGGCAGGAGACACAGGGGCCTATACCCACATCCCAAACACTACCGTCTGAAAGCAATCTGGTCACTCAGCCATTCCCGAGATGGCCACCTGGTCTGTCAGGTGTAGTTACCTTCATTAAATTTTGCCAATTTCTTACCACAAAACACACACACACACACAGGTACCAGTCCTTTCTATCCCATATGAGATGTAAATACACTGTTTAGAAACCAAGTAAAACACTTCGCACACATTATTTGACTTGTTCATAGACTTCAGAGTACTTACCCAGTAAAGATCAAATCATGGTAACTTCACAGCCTGGTGAACACTCTATATAACCTTCTAAGTATGTGAATGGTTAGCAGATTCCCAAGAGTCACACTATCAGGAATGAACTAAGGGGCCCAGTGCAGTAGCCTCGTAGCTAAAGTCCCCACCTTTCACACATCAGGATCCCATATGGCCACCGGTTATAATCCCAGCAGTCCCACTTCCCATCCAGCTCCCTGCTAGTGGCCTGGAAAAGCAGTTGAAGATGGCCCAAAGCCTTGGAACCTTGCACTTATGTGGGAGACCCAGAAGAGGCTCCGGATCAGCTCAGCTCTGGCTGTGGTGGCCACCTGCTGAGTGAATCATTGGACAGAAGATCTTCCTCTCTGTCTCTCCTCCTTCTTGCATATCTGACTTTTCAATAAAACTAAAAATAAGTCTTTAAAAAAGAATAATGAACTAAGACAATCCTGTACATGCAAACAAGGTCTGAGACAGTGGGTCCACATGTCCTGAAATAGGAAATGCAATTTGGAGAGTCCTTGAACAGCCTCTGCGCGGCTGGCGCCAAGCCCCTGCCTTACCTGCAGCGACATCATGTCGGGTCTATACTGCTTGCGAAAGCCAAGGTCGTACATGAGGAACTTGAGCATCTCGAAGGCTTGCTCCTCACTCATGTGCAGAAGCAGGACTCCAGCCACGAAGCTGATGCCCTGACAGTAGCCCACTTCCTTGTCCAGCAAAGAATAGGCTTTGAGGAGGTTAAAGAGGGACAGCTGCCCAGACCCAAGCTGCACGGAAAAGTAAGGATGAGTCGGAAATGTCCTTCCTGGAAAGCGACAGAGATAAAATTCATGTCAGATGGTCTCATTGCTTGGAGATGAGAATGACATCACAACTCAGGGATCTCCAAGAAGAAACACTTTTACCCAGACCAGTATGGACCACTAGGGACATCCCCAAGGGACATGGCCATTCTAGCAAGCTCCAGGCCCTTCTTGCTGTGTTCATGACCACACCCTCCCATCTGAACAGTCTTCAAAAGTTAATGGGAGAGGTGCTGCTGTGAAAAAAACTTGCGTGGGTTTCCAAATGTTTTGGGCTACAAATAAATATCTTCTTGTTGCATCTCACCATGACTTTTTTTAATTGCCCTCATAGGAGATGGGCATAAAACACAAATACTGCTAGTCAGCACTTCTTTCTAAAAGCACTAAAAGCAAAACGAACCAAAACCAAAACTAAAAGACCTTCAAACTCAGGGCACATCCATGAGAGAGAGCGAAACAGAACATGATTCAGATGAGTCAAGGCAAGTTCAAAATTCATGTCAAAGTTTCTATCTAAAGTCAGAATTTTGTAAGAGTTATCATAAGATTTAAAAGGAAATCTTACTGGGTTCACAAAAAAAAATTTATTGCTGCTTTTCTTATGACACCAAAAGGACATTTTCAGAAAAAAAATTACTTATGTATTTATTTTAAAGGCAAAGCAAAGCAAGCAAGAGAAATAGACAAAGAGAAACATAGAGAGAAGCAGAGATCTTCCACTTGCTGGTTCACTTCTTAAATGTTTGTAACAGACATGGTTGCACTAGGCCAAGCCCAGATGTTTGGTTTCTAAATTTCCCACATGGGTGGCAGGAACCCAAGCACTTGAATCATTGCCAGCTGCATTCCAGGATGCCCGTTAACAAGAAACCAGAACTGGAAGTGCCTCCCATGTGGCAGAGCCAGACGGAATTCGCGGCTTCTGTATCACTTAAAAGCCTAAAAGCCGGTATTAAATACCAAAACAAAAATAAACACCATTTTCACTTCCAAAGCTGTAGATACTGTTTGGGACTTTCTTTGTACTGCACCAACGAAGGGGCGCGTTAGCTTCCTTGCAAAGTGATTACTCAGGGCAGTCAGAACTTGCAAGAATGCCTGAATCTCAAGTGTTTTCTACCACATGTGCATAAAAGTGACTTTTCCCCAGGAACTGACACAATTAATTTTGCAGAGTAAGCAGAAGGCATAAGAAAACCAGAAGACTCTTTGAAGAAGCACTGATAGTTACAAGTAGAGTCAAATAAGCAATTTTTAAACTAACCATTTGACTTTCTCCCTTAGAATTTTTAGTCAAGAAAACTGTCAATTCACTGCCTACCCAAGGGGCTGGCATTAGCTCTGCTTTCGTCTTTCTCAGGATCTGAGCCATTTCCCTCTTTATCAGGGCACCATGGCTAACCCTGACTGCCACCATTTCACAGATGAAATAATCAAATGCCAACACAGAACATTTAATCCAATATTTTAAATGCAGAAAACACATCTGAATGTGAATTCAAGGGATTAAACAATTTTTAAAAGCATGCCAGTTTGACCTTCCAAAGTTGATTGATACTCATTATTTATCATTTGGTCCATCAGTAAGGAACCTACAGCCCCTATTGGAGAGCCTGGGTTCCATGTCCAGCTCCAACTCTGGACTTCAGTTTCCTGGGAATGCCCTGGGAGGCAGCAGTGCTCACCTAGGTCTTTGGGTTCTTTGTACTCATATGGGAGACATGGGTGGCTCCCAGCTTCAACATGACCGAGCCTAGCCCACTGCAGGCATCTGGGGGATACACCAGGGAAGGACAGCTGTGTGTGTCTGTACCTTGCTAATAAAAATTCAATTAAAATTTTGAAAAGCATAAAAAGAAACTCAAAAGTGTTTTAGAAAATATTAAAAGAAGTAAAATGAAAGTTGTCATGGGAAGTTCTCTCCAGGCCTTGAATACGCATTCACCTTTACACTCAGAAGTTCATTTTTCATCACTCTGCAGGTGGATATCCTGGCTTTCTACAATATAGCTTCTTTGTATATATTACTCTGAATATGATATTAAAGGCCCGACTTCAGTACCAGGTCTAGAATTGCTTAGTATATCTCTATTACATTGTTTAGTTCTTCTTTAAGCCTATTTTAAAACTGCCTAACATGTAATTGTCTTTCCCAAACAACAAGTCAGTCTTAGAAAATACAGTAACAGAAGGCAACCCATAATATGATCTTTCTGGTGATTCAAATTGTAATGGGACGCTGCCATTAATGGATTGCCCCCTCATCAGGTTACTGGACAGCAGACAAGGCACAGACATGGAGTTTTCACACCCCGCCCTTACTGCCTCTTCTCACACCATTTAAATTCACTGAAGGCACAAAAAACGCACCCTGCCTCTCCTATCTTCTACATGATTCACAACAACTGACTGTGCAGAAATTAATCCAGAGGTTCTGAGCACCTGGCCTCCCCTGCCCCTGTTGTGCTACTTAGGTTAGTTAACTATAGGAAAACTTTGGGCTCTGGTAACTCCCTGCCTGCCTGAAACTTGTACTGCCTGGCTCTCAATCTGACTGGAGGATGAGAGCTTGAAAACCCCTGACTTTGGCAGTTTAGCACAGGGGTTCCTGGAATGTGGCGGGAGCTACTGTCACTAAGCCTGGGAAATAAAGACTCCTCCTAACATCCTACACTTGGGTCCAGTGTGATCTCTCTCACACTCCACAACAATATATAGGATGAATTTCTTTTTGTGCACAAACTTTTGGAGGAAATCTCCAGATATTTAAGGTATCCTATCAGACACAAAATCAGCTTGCTCTCAGCGAAGGACAAGGCCAGCAGCTCCTCTTATCAATGTCCCACCCCTGGAAAACACACTACCAAAAGATCCACTTGCCTTTAGTCAATGACAATTAGGACAAACATACCTAAATCCACAAGAATGGCGTGTTGTTGAGCAGTGAGCTGCTTTAAAAGTTCCTTATAGGATGTGTCTGGGGGCTGCTGCTTATTGGGCAATCTATGTCTTAAACGGTACTGTAAAGCTAAGAACTGCCAAATCTCTCCTCGTCGACTCTTGGGGACGCCTGCAATCAAAGAAACAAATAAGCAAGACATGAGACTCCAAGATGCACTTGTTCAATTGCGGCTGATCACGGCATTGCTGAACACAGGCAACAGTACTGTACAAACACCACCCTGGGATCACAATGTAGTGACAGAGTGCATTTTGACAAATACCATCTAACGACTCCTAACATCTTACAGTCATACAAAACAGGCAGTTTGAGGGATAACATCAGCTAACAAATAGAGCAACACACAGCACACTTGTAGAGGGTGCCTAGCCCTGAACCTTATACATGTGTTCAAAGAACACTCTTGTAAGATAGGTAATTACTCTTACCTCCATCATACACATCGCAAAGCTAAGGCAGAAAGACCTTAGTAATTTGCCCAAGTTCACTCAGCTGGTGTCAGTTTAGGATTAGAACTTCTAAAGGTCTGATTAAAGAGGCCAAATGCTGAAATTCCAAAAAGTATTACAGGCTGCCTTCATCCTTTTGGCGGGGAGGGTGGAAGACAGTAACAAGTATGCATACTCATATTACAATGTGTAAATCCTTCTTATTAACAAGTAACTTAGTGGAAGTGAGCTAACTAGAATTCTCACACAGCCATTAAAGGAATGAAGCAGTAAAAAATGGTCAGTATAGTCCCAAGGCATAACTGAAGTTCTCCCAGGACATCACTCATCTCTGGAGCAGAGAGAATGTTGCACGCGTGAACACTAATTCTAGTGAGCTTAACAGTTTGATGTCACCAGTAGCTCAGTGTGCCTTCACTGTGATTTCTGTGCCAGTGCACATGGGGGCAGCAGTGGGAGGGACACAAGTTCATGCTCTACAGCACAGGAGATGGTCAACGCAGTTTCCAGTTGCAACTGACTAGATCTGGAATAGGTTCTTCAGCTCAAGCTGGTTAATGAAAAGATTTCTACCAGTCTTCTCTGAAATGTAATGCCAGTTTACAAAACTAGAATACATGATTCTCCAAAAGTTGACAGCCTCAGCCTTCCTAATATGATGAATGAGGTTCTCCCCAGAATAGATCCAGACCACCTTTAGCTCTATGCCCCTCCAACCCCACATTCCCTGCCAAACACTTGACATTCCTGGTTATTTTCATTCCTCTGGTTTCTTGTTTCAACTGTTGCCTCTATGGAATTCCCAGCTCTCCCACTGGATTTTCTAACACATCTTTCTTCACTGTTTATAGATGAACCCAGCATCACCACTCACTTTTCCTGATATATCTGTCAGTAAAGTTACAAGGTGTAAGCACTCCCAGTTCACATATGATTTGATCCTTATTATAACATTATTTGCTGAATTACACTTGTTTCTTCAACTTTGACTATTTTTCCAAACTACAGATGGTGAGGTACTTGAGAACAGTAAGCATACTTGCATGTCTGTTAGACAAAACCCAAGATTTACCCTGTTAAATAGACATGTTGAATAAGTGACTGACAGTAAGTAAAATGTTATTTGTGAGGATTACTTTAATAGTGCATTAAATGAATCTCTGAAGACGAAGATCTGTTCTGTTATTTACCCAAAGGCACATTCACAAACAGCTAATTAATTCTCCTTAATGTTTCTTAAACATCCAGTAGGTCATACAGTATAGCACACAGCATTCAGGATACCTCCTCACTGAGAAGCGAAAAAATTCAATATCAGGAAAATTTGCCTCAGTCATTCACCCATCCAGTCATTCAAAAAACTACTTGTGCAAGACACTGTCTTAGGTGCCAGCTGTGAAGCAATGGGACGAGAACAATATTAAATTGGTATGCACATAATTGAAAACTTACAAATCATGTCAAATGTGAGAAAGAATCATCAAGCACAGTGAAGGTATTCAAGCCAAAGCCCGAGGATGCTGCTCTGAGACGGCAGCACCAGAGTCATGATGTGAGGGTGACCCCCTGGCTGAGAGCAGCACAGAATGCCTGGGGAGAGGCAGAGGACAAGAGCAGGAGAGAGGAGTGAGAAGAAGGGTGCGCAAGAAAGGCGGGTGGGAAATGGCAAGAAAGTAGAGAAGTGAGGTCAGGAAGGTGCAGGGGGAGGGCTGGACATCCCACACAGAAGCAGCTGGGTCACATATACAACACAAGGGAAGAAGAAGTGGAAAATGGGACCAGAGACACAGAGGAAGGAGAGACTATGGAGGCCTGGGGCGTGCACTGTGAAGGTTAACCTGCACCTGTAAGGAATGAGAGGTGGGCACCTGACACAGCGTTAGATGGCATCCCCTAGAATGTTCTGATCTGTAGCCTACAAGTCCTGTCCACCACTCCAGTCTCCCAAATAACATATCCTGTGAAAACTGTTAGGATTCTGAAATCTCCAAGAAAAAAACAAGAAGCTTGTAAAGGCAGCATCTGCTTACAAAACAAAGCTTAATCTAAACTGTGCAATAGCATCACACGAACCATCAGCTTTTCAAACATGGCATCAGACTTGTTTGAGCCTTCTGGAATTTTTGTTTTATGCTCAAGTGTGCATGAGCCATGGAGATTCTCATTTGAATATATTTAATCTGAGTCACAAAAACTGCATCTAAAACATGTATTAATTTGTTTTAATTTTAGATTTAAAACATCAGGCATTTCACACAGCACAGCAACAAGAAAATAATCAATGCAATACAATGGCTCAACAAAAGTAATTTGTCCGAAACAGAAGTAATGAATGGATAGAAGAATACCAGATGAATAACACAAATGATACAAATTGTATATACACACACACACACATTTACTGTTATTTATATATATGTTATATAGTGTGTGGTATACATATATATAAAGTGATCTGCTCTGTTATTTACCCACACACACACAAACACATTTCTATTCTGACCAAATGATGGAAAAGTCTACATTATGCATGTCACGGTGATTAAATATCTGTCCCAATGCCTGAATTTCCTCCATAGTAAACAACTACGGAGAGCTGAAATAAGCAGGCAGCATACGCAGGAATGGTGCTCTACTCTCTTCAGAAGTATCTCCATTAGCACCAATGTCAGCCCAATTAATTCACCATATTTACTTCCATTTTTCAATAAGCAAAAAACACAGATAAAACTATGTCTCAGCAGCAAAGACATAATAAAGCATCTCTGAAGCTTTTCTTCTTAAAAAAAAAAATCCTTGAAATTATCCCACACACCTTCTTTGAGTGAAGTGTGAATGTCCTCCATGTCACTTCTGAGTTTCGTTCTGCAGTTTAACAACTTCTTATCCCAGGCTATTAAGAGGTCCTTCTGACAACAACCAACTTCTTCATAGTCCAATTTAACTTTTCTGGACTGAAGCTCATCTCTTCTGGCTAAGCAGCGGAAGGGGAGAGAGGGAGGGAGGGAATGAGAATCACAGCAGATCAATGTGCTTCTGAAGATAACATTTTTAACATGTTAATGTGCTTGTAAAACCGTAGCAGATGACTTAAGAGCCAACCTCTAATTCAGCCTCAAAAAGAAAACTCTTTAAAAATGAAGATATATGGAAGGTTCTCAAACTGAATCATTGCATGTAAGGGATATTCACTTCCTAAGGAGCTTTCATTCTGAACTAAACACCTAACTCTGATTATAGAACAACATGTTGGCTATATTATAATATTCACTTTCTGGGAAAGATTTTTATCCTCAGAAGTGATATGTTTCATTATCTTAAACAACATTAAAGTGCTAACATTTTTACTAATGTGTTTGAGAGACAGGAAGAGACAGAAAATTAAAGAGGTGTGTTTGCCACCTGTAGTTTTTCTCCTAAAAAGTCCACACTAGCTGTTATTGCCAGGATGAAGCCAGAGCCAGGAGTGTGATTCAATGATTCCAGCTGGGTGTCAGACAAAACTACTTGAATACCAGCTGCAATCTCTCCATGTGTGCATAAGCAGAAAGCTAGAATTGGAAACAGAGCTGGCACTTGAATTGAGGCATTTCTGCACGAGATGTGGGCATTCCAAACAATACCTTTACTGCTAGGCTACATACCCTTCCCAAATGTTACTACTTCATATTTGACATCTATAGGAAGACAATGTCTCATAGGGCCTTAATTTGCAGTATGTTTCATCATGATAACTCAACTGTTTTATACATATTTCCAGAGTCAGCATGTTGCCATTAACAACACTACATGTTCCTATGTTCATTTTAAATCATTTTAAAAGCAAACACACATTCCGTGAACTTGACACTAATTCTATTGTTGAGGTAATACAGAATTGTCTTCACTTAATGGTCTAAAGCATAAGCCCAGGACTCATTAAAATAAGTACCTAGAGAGACAACCACAGTCTTGATTTATCTTGATTTTGAATAACTTGATTTTGAAAGCGAAAGGAAAAGCAAACCTGCCAGTCACCTCTCAGCAGGAGCAGTTACCCATGCCAGAGGACTCCCCCCAGTGTCTTACAAATCCCGGACATGCATCCAAAGTCCTCTGCAGCACAAAAGCAACCACAGAATGAACATCACCCTTACTTAGTGTGCTTGAAATCGTTTCAGAAAAAGTAAAATATCTTAGGTGGTGGCAATAACTCCTACAGAGAAATCTAGACACACAGAAAGATAATTCTGGCCGCAAAAACCCTCTTCTTGAATACCACTAGATGGCTTGCTAACTCAGTCTTCCGTTGCCATTCAGCATTGGCTTTGGTATTTTCCTACAGTAACTAAAGAATTCTTTAAAAGAAGTGGGTTCCTTAACGTGAATAATGAATACATACAACTTTACTAATGGTTTCCCTCATAGTGAATAAAGCCTAATTCCTCAGAGTATTCTCCCACTTTGTCTAAATTATTGTTCATATATACAATTATATAATATATACAATGGGCCAGCCACAGGCTCTGGCATAAAACAGTAAGAAAAGTTACTCTCGGTACTTAAACAGATTAACTAGGCAAAAATAAGGAACTTTCAGTAAATGGTTATTTATTAGCCAGATTTTTTTTCTCTTGTTCTTGTCACTACAGTACAGAAACAAGCAGAGAAGGTCACCACCTTTCTTCTGTAAAACTGTGTGGTATTACCGATCTCAGAATGTAACAGTAGCATTTATATTAAAACATTCATTTCCTTACATCAGCACATAGAAATGAGAAAAACTGTGACCTACTGGGAAAAACCCAAGAACTATTATGAATAAGCTTGAACCCTGTGACTTGTCTGCTACTATATCACTGCCCTTAGGTTATCCTCTTACCCCACCCAACCCACTAAAAACTCACCTACAGAATGAAGAACCTAGCGAAACCATCTCGAATAAGGCCATCTCCAGGCCAGACAGCTTATGACTCTCCAACTACCCGTTCATTTGTAATATAAAATTTTATGTGTAGATCTTTCCAATTAAAACACAATTTCACACTTTGAGTTATTCAAGATCTAATCAATGGCTTAAAAATATAAATTCAATTTCTGCTAAAATCTTTCAAAGCAAAACTAAATAAGCCATTTATCACATACACGATTTGAAAAGCTATGTCAATAACAACTGATTTTGTTCTTTATTTTAAAGAATAAATAATAAATAAGGATAAACAATAAACAAGAAGATTTATTTCCTAGCAGCTTTTAACATTTTATGTATTTTGGTTCTGCTCAGCAAATAGCAATAAAAACTGTGCCCTTGTGAATTAAATAAATTGAAAATTTATTTTTAAAATTTAAAAATAAACGGACTAAGCATAACAAGATTCTTAAGGTAGTGAAGGAATTCACAGATATCAGTGCCTTGTTTAAAAACTGTTCAGAAAATAAAAGTAATACAAAATCTACACTGTACAGTTGCCAATAGTCTAAAAAACTCAAAGGCCCACTCAAGCTAAATATTTCATTTTAAACATAGAAAAATAATGCCCTTTCAGGATAAGTGCTTTGCCTAAGATGATGTTTCTGACACATGTTTGGGAGTTTAGATGTGTCTGGGCATACATACTGCAGTTCTGTCAGCACTGGGGCAAACTACGTCATTCTTCAGGAAAACATTTTCTGAAGCACTGAGCGTTGAAAATTCAGCAATAACCTATCACAGAGTGCATAACCTTATAAATTATGTGTGTTTAGTGACTCAAATATGATTTTTAAATGGAAAGTTCATAAGCCATTAACAAAATTAGGAGCTCTGATTTGATAATAATTATAATTAAATCCTTGCTTAACCATAACCCAAACAGAAGTTGTTTGAACAAAGTATAATTCTTCTATTATGAATATAATTAGTATTGGAAGACAAACTGTCTACATTCTATCTTACTTATTTTAAAGGTTTCTGATATTTCAACTCTATTCAACAACAATGCAAATATCCTAAGCTGACCCCTCCCCGGGTCTAATCATCACCTTACCAAATGCAAATAAATAGGTTTGGTCAACAGATTTTTCTACTCAGAGTGGATATACAATCAGTGAATGAGTGTGCATGTGTTTGTGTGCCCCCACAGGAGAGAGCAGATTCACCCCCACTCCCTTAAGTCACAGCACCCCAGCATTCTGCCATGTTTGAATAGCTCACCTTCCAGTTTCTGGTTTTCTTTTTCCATCCGCAGCAGCAAGATTTGTTGGTGTATAGCCTTTTTCCACAAGCTCTTAAACTCTTTGGACTTCTTTTTCTCTTCACCCTTCTCTGGGTCCTCCTCGCCAGACAGGAAAATTACCAGCGGGTCCTCCTCCATGGTGGGAGTGAGAGGGGACAGTGGCAGCAGCTCGTTCCTGTCCAGCCCATCTGCAGAGAAGAAGAGAGTGAGAGGCATTCCTCGCTAGTAACCCAGACACCAGATGCTTTCTCAAGAACTGACATTCTCATCTGCTCTTCCACATTTAAAGGTTTTCACACGGCTACTTTGCCAGTTACTTCAGGTCTGGGACTAATCGGCTAAGTCAAGTCACTCAACTGAATTCCCCTCCCAGATTTCCCTGTTGTAATGAAACAAAAGCATGTCATTTCACCACTTCTTCTTTCTGCACAAGAAGACCTATAAGATAACAATGCCTAAACAAACTGGCCTTTCCCCAGAATCCTGTACTTCTGCAATTTATCTCTGTATGTGCTGTGGCTGTACATAACAAGAAGATTAAGTAGGTAGTGACCTCCTATGGTCTACTCACGGGATACATCAAAAGTGGCCTGAGCATGCAGACCTTCCAAGGCCAAACATCCAGCACCCTCTGCCCTCTCCTCCTGCCCTCCTGAGGCTCACTCAGCCCCAGGCCAGCCTTTACCCAATCAACAAATACAGTCACATGTCTCAAAAGACTCCAGGGCAGCTCACGTTCTCATGAACAAAGTGCAGCCTGCTAGGAATGTCCAGACACCCTTACTGTCTCTGGCCTCATGTGAGCTTTCCAATCTCATGCCTCAGTCTCCATCTTCTGCAAATCTCCCCTGAGCCTTGGTTGAGTTTCTCAGATTTCTCTGACCTTCAAACTTCTTTTAAATAACCCCAGAACTTTGCATATCCCTTTTTCTAAAACATGGATCGCCTAACAATGAGCTTAAGCATTCTTCTGTGACGCTAACCATCCTAGGCAGCTATGATTTCATCTTTAAGGATGCCCAGTTGCTGTCCAGTTTTTGCTTTTTTTAAAAAAAAATTCATTGACTTCCCTTATCCATAGCTGCTTCCTTGTGTTTCTGGTTGTTGTTAGTTTGATTTTCCCCCACCCTTTGGCCCTTCTTTCAATTTCTTAAGCTGAATCTTAGTACATTTTATATCTGACTTTCTGTTTCAAATAAACACATTCATGACAGCAAACCACGCCCTAACCAATATTCAATATCAATAGGTAGCGCTCTGATCACCACATATTTTTCCTTAGCTTCTAGGAATAGATTTCAAATAGGACAGATAGACAAGGGGCACTACTACCAAAGAATAGAGCATAAAAGATCATGATTATCTGGAATTTATTAACATATCTTTTAGCCAAATACACAGCTAAATTTTTATGACTGTCTTATGTATGATAAAATGTGTGAATTTTCGCTACAGCAATGAAGTTCTACAAAATGTGAGATTGTTTGTTCAACTGTGATATCCATAATTAATTTCTTTATACTTACTTTTCAGAAAATATGGCATTATTTCCCATAAGAGTTTTGATTTATTTTTCCTAAAAATTCTCTCAAGTATTATTTTGGACCTGTCAAGGCTTTTAAACAATATGTATTGTCATTACTGTTACATCTTTGTGTTGATTGTTCATTTACTCTCTCTTTTTTGAATGTTTCTGCTTTTTTTAGATTTATATATATATATTTTTTTTGGAAAGGCAGATATACAGAAAAGAGACAGCAAAAAAGATTTTCCCTCCACTGGTTCACTTCTCAAATGGCCAAATTAACCAGAGCTAAGTTGACCTGAAGCCAGAAGCTAGGAGCTTCTTACAGGTCTCCAACATGGGTGCAGAGTCCAAAAGCTTTGAGCCATCCTCAGCTCTTTTCCCTGGCCATCAGCAGGGAGCTGGATGGGAAGTGAAGCAGCCGGGACACAAACGGGCACTCATAGGGGATGCATGTGCTTGAAGGTGGAGGATTAGCCTGTTCAGCTACAGTGCTGGACCCGTGTGCTTAGATTTCTAACAATAAAATCTAATATACAGACACCTGCATGATGGCATAGTTGGCTAAGCCTCCCCCTGTGGCACCAGCATCCCTTATGGGTGTCAGTTCAAGTCCTGAAAGTTCCACTTAGGCAGCTCCCTTGCTAATGACCTGGGAAAGTAGTGGAGGGTGGGCTAAGTCCTTGGTACCCTGCACCCATGTGGGAGACCTGACTCTTAACTTCAGAATGGCCCAGCTCGGTAATTGTGTCCATTTGGGGAATGAACCAGCAAATGGAAGATCTCTCCTTCTCTCTTTATAAGTCTGCTTTTCAAATGAAAATAAACCTTTAAAAAAACATGGCTGCTTGTGCTTTCTGCTGGCTGCTATCTGCCTAGTGTAACATACCTATTTCTATGTCACTTTGCTTGGTATGTGGCACTACAAAATTGTGCTGATTTTCCCAAAAATGAAAAGGTCTTTGACTTGCTGCATTCTGACACTATCCTAGTGGAGTAGGATGCAAAACAGGAGTGGGAAATTCACTCATCAGGAGCTGAGTGTGTATGCATTCTAACAACATCTGAGAACACTGTACCAGCTATCAAAAGAGATGCCATTTCTCCAACGCAGTCACTGTAATCTATTCCTACACTAAGCATTTGCCTTCCCTTCCCTGGCCACGCCACTCACAGCGAAATGCTGGTGAGTGTCTCACAGACCTTGCTGTTGCATTGCTGAGGGAGATCTGTGTATGGGCGAAGCAACGCGCAGGAAGATGCGCTGCCGCCACGAGATCCGGCGAGGAGTGACAGGCGTTCCTCCAGCATTTAGGGACTCATTGCTGCAAGTAGACGAAGTCCTTTTTCTCCCTTCTCCATCACTGTAGGAAGCCAACAAAGACAGAACATGTAGGCAAGACTGCAAAACAGGGCACTTCTCAATGAGATGGTAGTACAAGCCATTCCCACATTCTGCCGCAGGCGAGCATGAGCCACAGGCCACACAGAGCAATGCATCCCTCCCCCATGGGCCACCCAGGCCACCACATCCTGGGAAAATGCAATCCAGTCACAACCCAGATAGGAAAAGCTCACCTGTTTCTACTCATTCCTTAGTAGCCACCTAGTCTGAGTTCTAATGAGAACATCAAAAGGGCTTATATGGAAGAGAAAGTGTGGCTGAAGTAATATACTCCATTGTTTTTAAAGAGATAAAGTCAATAATTTATCCTAAACATAAGTAACTCATAAAAGACTCATTAAGGACTTCTCATAGACCTTATAAAGCAGGCTGATGGAGGTGGCAACAAGTTCCCTGAGAGAACTACGATCTCCAAACTGACAGCTTTCCATCATTGGATGGTGATGACAATAAACTAATCACAGGCAGAATGGTCACCTTAGGATTACTGTTAGTTGACACAGTATGAAAACAGCTGGAGTCAGATAAGACTGGATGGGCCAAGTTAAAGACTATTAACAAGACTTCTTTATAGCACATCTTCTTATAGACTAGATATGCTGAGACGCATTGAGCCTCTTCAACAGGGAAATATTAGATAGCAACTCCCTAACTTAGTTTAATTAACTAGAATCAACATCCCCAACTTTTGGGGCTTTACAAATGCCACATCATTCTTCATCAATGCTTTATGAAATTTATCTGTGCAAACACTGGCCAGCACTAAGAATGTCACTTATATGCCCCTTATGAGGAACTGGTATATCCGCTGACACTATTTTGGACACCTGAATCTCATGTCGGGGTGCCTGGGTTCAACTTCTGACTCCACTTCCAATGCAGCTTCCTGATAATGTACATCCCTGGGAGGTAGTAGATGATAGTTCAAGCATCTGGATCCCAGACAGAATTCTGGCTCCTTATTAGTTCCTGGTCCAGCGCCAAATGTTGTAGGCACTTTGGGAGTGGAACTGCAGAAGAGAGATCTACCTGTTTCTTTTTCAACAAAGAAAAATAACTGATTATAAATATCTTTTAAAAAAATTATTACCATCTTCTTGGAAGAGCTACAGATAAGGGAACTCCATTTGGGTCTCCTGGGTGGGGAAGGTATGAGCACTTGTGCCACCATCCACAGCCTACCAGGATGCCTTAGAAGGAAGCTGGGTTGGATGTATGGAGCAGCTGGCACCCAGATATGGGATGTGGACATCCAAGCAGCAGCACAACTTGCTGTGTCACAGCAACTGCCCCAAAGTGAACTTCAAAATAGACCCCTGTGTTGGCAGTTGCTAGTGGTGGGAATACTTGGCTAGTTTTGTTGTTGTTGTTCTTGTCGTCTTTCCTAGTTTCACAGTTTCTGGACTTTCCTAAGACAATGATGAAGACACACAAGCGATGACATCCACAAATGAACCACAAGTGAAGGTACTGGAATTTTGAAAGAATCGAGAAGTTCAGCATTTGGGTCAGAAAGGAAACTCAGCTCAAAAAGCCACAGGCCTCACAAACACTCAGAGGAACTCAACAGGGCAGAAGCAATTCAGAAAGAGGACAGCAGTTCCACACTTGTCTGCTGTATCTCTATTTACTCCATGTAAGCACACTTACAGGAGACAGGCAATCCATTCCTCTCCAACTGGATCTATTGTCCTAGAAATAGGACTTTAAGATTTGCTCAAGGAAGGTGAGAAAATAACATACTGCATAGTGCCTCACACATAGCAAGTGGTACAATGTGTTATGATAACATAAAAGGTGGTTGGTTCTTGTGTCTCAACAGTCAAATCCCCTTATATATCCTGGATAAAATCCATAAAATATTACATTCCCATCATCTGAAATTCTCTGCAATAACTGAATACTTCTGTTCACCTTTGCCCTGGAAACATGAGTTCAAAGACTTCCCTTATAGGATCTGGGACTCCAGCAGCCCTGTGTATCGTAATCATCATTGGATCTTGAGAAATCTTCTTGGTGTAAGCTGCACCTTCATTTTTGTAGCACTAGCTCACTGGAGTTTGAGAAATTTCTGTTCATGATTGAGTGTATTTCTAGTTTCTTGTATTATAGTGGTCAAATGTATGCACTCAACAAATACCCATGAAATAAAACAATCATTTATAAAACTACAGTAAATATTACCTCCAAAGGTTAAGTAAAATGGATATGAGAAATGTCAGAAATACAGATATAACTTATCTTCTTAACATCTCTTATTGCTGGTCCTAATCTTAGGTCACTTTAGGAGAAGGTTCTAGTACAGCCCGAAGTAAGAACTGAGCTATTAAAGGCATAGGCAGATTCTGACACTGACAATACTGTTAATTAACAACAAAAAGCACCGTTTGTTTTCTATTAAGAATTGCCCCTTCCATACATAAGAGTATACACAGTGTATCTATCGTTTATACTATGAAAGCAAAATGAATTGAGACTTTCAAAAAGCTCATAGATAATGGAAATACAAGTCACAATTACTTTGGTGCAAAAGATAGGATATATCATGCATAGATTTCTAAAACTGTCACAAGAAAATTCAATTTTTCATGACATTCTATAAGTATGCTCATATTTACTAAAAGCATTCATCTGAACACCCCACAAGGTAAATGTTCAACAAGTATTACTTTACCTTGCCTTTTACAGTAAGTACAGCAGTAATATCAGAGTAAATCTAACAAAACAATTCTAACTGGAATATGCCATGTGAAACAAGATAGACCTGGGGAACAATACTATATGATGTCATTCATACTTACAAAAAATACACAAATTATTTTTCTGATAACATTATTTATAAAACCATTCTTTGGTCAAATATTTAAGTTGGTTTTTGTGATGTGTAACTACAAATAGTGCTCCAACAAGTAACTTCTTACACAGCTGCTCTCTCTCATTCTGATGTTTCTAAATGGGATTTCTCCATCGAAGAATATAAACTTTTTAAAGGAACTAAAAAGAAACCCACAAGCTAATCTGAACGCTAAAAGTGAATTAGCAGAGGTTACTAGAAATAGGAGGGACTGAGAAAGACTGGATTAAAAAAATAGGGAAATCTGAGCGCGGTTTGTTAATAGACACAGATGTACTAACATGAGTTGCTGCAGTAGGGAAAGCTGGTGTGACCTATACAAGGTTACAAATATGTCTAATGTAAGGTATTTTCAATAGGAGAAGCTGGGTGAGGAGTATATTGGCACTCCTCATAAGACTTTATGATTTCTGTTTCATAAATATAAAGCTATTCTAAAACAGACTTTTGGAACATTTATATTTTAATGCTGGAATTAAAACATGTTTTTTTAAAATCACCTTCTAAATCACTGGTAGTAACATATCCTGTGCTTAGAAAATACAAAAAGAGGGTCCAGCGTGGCAGCCTAGCAGCTAAGGTCCTCGCATTACACATGCCAGGATCCCATACGGCAGTGGTTCTAATCCCAGTGCCCCTGCTTCCCATCCAGCTCCTTGCCTGTGGCCTGGAAAAGCAGTCGAGGACGGCCCAAAGCCTTGGGGCCTTGCACCCACATTGGGAGACAAGGAAGAGGCTCCGGGCTCCTGGCTTCAGATCAGCTCAGCTCTGGCCATTGTGGCCACTTGGGGAGTAAATCAACGGATGAAAGATCTTCTATGTCTCTCTTCTTCCCTGTATATCTGAATTTCTAGTAAAAATAAAATGAATCTTAAAAAAAAAAACATAAGAAAGTATAAAAACAAAGCAGAGTGATACATTTGTCTGATTATCCCAAACAAGCTTCGGGGTAAAGTAGACTTTCATAAGCTAATACACACTACAAATTTTCATAACATTTAGTTGCTAAAATCCTATCATCCAAAAAAACTGCCCAAAGCCACATTTTCCTCCTAGATCTGGAATCTACAGGCCAGCATCAGGCCCACACACGAGGTGAAAAGAAAGGGAAGATCACAAGATCTGAAAGAAATTACCCAACAGACCAGTGACCCTTTATCTTCCACTAAAACTGCACCCCAAAAAGGCATTTTTCAGCTCCTGAAACAAGGCTGCAGCTGCTCTGCCTCATTTACCCAGAGCATCATTCGGAAGCCGGGACCCAAATAACCATTTAGCCAACCCACCAGTGTACTTGTGCAACTTAGAGCAGTCAACAGCCCGACAGACACCCTGGGGGGCCAGTTTCAAGGAAACACCAGAGGATACACTGGGCATCAGGAAGTCTTGCTCCTGACTGCAAAACTGCGCCAGACACCAGGGGGAGGACCAGAGAGGGTGGCGGAGCAGGGAGGGGTCGGGAAGCGGGAGCTGCAACGGGGAGCTTAAAAATTTCTCTTTGTTGTTGTTCACTCTGCTTCTTTGCCAGTTTTCACTTTAACTTCTCCTTTAATGACAGTTAGCATAAACAAGTCAAATGTCTCCCTTCTGAGTGAAAACAAAACAAAACAAAAAAAAACACATCTAGTGTTTCCTATAAGAACAGTAAAGTCCAGGCTTACAGAAAGCACATATTTGCAGCTGGGCACTGTTCCCAACCTTTTACAATTATAGATTCACTTTAGCCTCTAAGCAACCTACTGTTCATTTCCATGTGCAGTAAGAAAATTAAAGTAGACAGAGGCTCAGAGAACTGCCCACAGCCACAAAATACCATGTGGAGGATGCCCAGGCACTGGGGTTGATGGTGCCAATGTCCAGAACTCTATAGGACCATAAAAAACAAAGCTGCCATGGCTCCCAGGATCATCTGCACTGCTGGTGCGAAACTCAGTCTCTAATTAGCATTCAGTCTTTGGGCAGGTACTCACTCCCATTTCCACCTTCAAGGGATCGTTTCCCTTATTACAACAGACAAATTCAAAGGGCTAGCAGTTATTTCACTTCTGTAAATGTTCTGCTTCCTCTTGTTCGCTTTGAAAAATCGCATTCCAATCGCATATGCT